TGGTGCAGTGGTTAGCGTGATGTGTGTGTGGTTTGTGTGGGGAGTGGTGGTGCAGTGGTTAGCGTGATGTGTGTGAGTGTCGTGAGTGTGTGGGGAGTGGTGGTGCAGTGGTTAGCGTGCTGTGTGTGTGTAGTGAGTGTGTGGGGAGTGGTGGTGCAGTGGTTAGCGTGCTGTGTGTGTGTAGTGAGTGGCGAACGGTGGTGCAGTGGTTAGCGTGCTGTGTGTGTGGTGAGGGTGTGGGGAGCGGTGGTGCAGTGTTTAGCGTGCTGTGTGTGTGGTGAGTGTGTGGAGAGTGGTGGTGCAGTGGTTAGCGTGCTGTGTGTGTGGTGAGTGTGTGGGGAGTGGTGGTGAAGTGGTTAGCGTGCTGTGTGTGTGTAGTGTGTGGGGAGTGATGGTGCAATGGTTAGCGTGCTGTGTGTGTGGTGAATGTGTGGGGAGTGGTGGTGCAGTGGTTAGCGTGCTGTGTGTGAGTGTCGTGAGTGTGTGGGGAGTGGTGGTGCAGTGGTTAGCGTGCTGTGTGTGTGTAGTGAGTGTGTGGGGAGTGGTGGTGTAGTGGTTAGCGTGCTTTGTGTGTGGTGAGTGTGTGGGGAGTGGTGGTGCAGTGGTTAGCGTGCTTTATGTGTGGGGAGTGGTGGTGCAGTGGTTAGCGTCCTGTGTGTGTGGTGAGTGTGTGGGGAGTGGTGGTACAGTGGTTGGCGTGCTTTATCTGTGGGGAGTGGTGGTGCAGTGGTTAGCGTGCTGTGTGTGTGGTGAGTGTGTGGGGAGTGGTGGTACAGTGGTTAGAGTGCTGTGTGTGTGGTGAGTGTGTGGGGAGTGGTGGTGCAGTGGTTAGCGCGCTGTGTGTGTGGTGTGTGGGGAGCGGTGGTGCAGTGGTTAGCGTGCTGTGTGTGTGGTGAGTGTGTGGGGAGTGGTGGTACAGTGGTTAGAGTGCTGTGTGTGTGGTGAGTGTGTGGGGAGTGGTGGTGCAGTGGTTAGCGGGCTGTGTGTGTGGTGTGTGGGGAGTGGTGGTGCAGTGGTTAGCGCGCT